GTAATGCAATCTAGTGGGGGAGGGTGGGGGTGCTCCTCAGGGGTCTGGATATTTAGCAAAGACAGTGTTACTTACTGATCTGCTTGGGGAGCCACAGCAATTAAAGCTGCCACCACTTCCCAGCTACAAAATTTCTGAACTCCTGGGGAACTGCATTTCTCACATATAACGTGTACTTCAATTTCCCCGGTTTTGGGGGAGGAAACATGTATTATGTGAGAAAATATGGTACTGCAGCTAAAAGGAAGACATTTCAGTTCTTGATTTGGCTGATGACTGTCACGTGCCAGTCAGTAAAGAGCTCACCTTCCTCAGAATACTGAAGTCTGCAAGTCCGTTAACCAATGAAACTGGAGGACTTTTCTTTCAGTATCTGTCATATAAAATAAAAGGGAGTTTGGGGAAAGAATCCAGAGGGAATGCAAAGTTGAAAAACCCAGTTCCAACATCAGATCGAGAAAACAGAATTTTGTGCATTTCCCAGTTAGGGCCCTGCTCATATTCCATCCTACATATCAAGCCCCATATTTGGATGGAAGGAAAGATGGCTCCCTACCTCTGAAGTCTTCTGAATTCTAGAGTTATTTCTTCCCCCAGCCTCACAGTACTATAAAAGGGGTGAAGGTGGAATTTCTCCTGCTATCTCTCCAACCATCTGTTTTTTCAGGACCTCCTTCCTTATGAATAGCTCCTAGACCTGCCTCCAGGGGCATACAGTTTTCCAAACAGCAGCACAGCAGAACTCTAGTTAGTACCACTTCTGCCATACTTCTGAAAATGCAAACCAGTCCATCCATAACAAGATGCAAGCCAGTATCCAGACTGCAATATCATTTTTTTTTTCCAATCCACATTTAAGTCACTGATTTTTAATAACCATTTGGAGATAAGCCTAAAACAAAACAACAACAAAACAAATTCTTCAGCTCAGTTACTTTCTTCATTCTCAGCCCTTTTATAAGTTGCTTACTGTATTACATTGCTGTTTATTTTTATCTAGTTCAGTCACCCTTCCCCTACCCCCTCCCATTTGTGATTTCTTTTGATCCAATTAATTCTATGTTACTCAATTTTGCCCAATTTCTTCTAGCCCTCTTCTATCACAACATTTTCTCATGTGGTGCATTTCATTTTCCCCAGTTTTACCTTCACAAATGTTTTCTTTTCTTTATTTTCACCATTTTATAACTGGTTTTCTTTTGCTTTTTGTCCTGCTTCCATCTCTATCATCATCTCTTTTCTTCTCCTTTCCTCCATCTCCTCATCTAGCAACATTTATTTCTTCCCCTGACAACATTAAAATCCACGCTCTTCAGCTGCCTTTCACCTCTTCCATCTACCTTGCCACCCTGCCCCAGATGCTTCCAACCCAGGCTGGATTTTCCCACTACAGCCAAGCTATCCCACACTGCACTCAGCTACCCAGGCCTTAAACACTTTTGGCCAGCTACAGAACTTCTATAGGCTAGGTTAGACGACTGCTTGTTTAACCTATTCCTAAAAGCTACACAGCCCTGTCAAAAACACAAAGAACACCCTAACCTTCCGCAAGTAACAGAGGAGGGTGAAGTCCATCAGTGTGCCATCAATGCAAAGTAGATGTGCACTGATATATCTGTCCATATAAAACGTCGATCAGCGTTTTTTGGCCAGTGTAGCCAATAATGTCACTGATACATACCATATGCATGCGTGCAGCATGTATGTAGCCAGGAATGCAGCCAGGCAGCTTGGAGAGCAGCATCCAGCCAGTAAGTCTGTCAAGGGAAGGGGTGAGAGGAGTGAAGGGTCATGGGGGGGGCAGGGGTGCCGACTGAGGTCACCATGGTGGGGGAGGGAATTAGGGCTGGGGCAGGGTGCAGGATGGAGCCACGGGTGGCACATCTGAGGTGGATAGGTATATCAGGGGTGGGAGGGGTGGTCCCAGCTGCTCCGCACACCCCCAGGGGAGGCATGGGGGCATGTGTCCCCCAGATGTGTGTATGAGGCAAGGGAGGGCTGGCCTGCTACAGGCTTGGGGCCAGAGGTTGTGCAGGCCTCTTCCCAACAGGTGGGCTGGGTTGGGCATGCGGCAGGCAGGCGGCAGTGACACTGACACTGGGGAAGGGGGGCTACAGGGTAGGCTGCAGTCACCTCAAAATTCCCTGTAGCCCCTGTACCCAGTGCTGCCACTGCCTGCCCCAAGTGCAGCCCCAGCCCAGCCCCTCCACCAGGAAGAGGCTGGCACAGCCCCTGGCCCTGAGCCCACAGCAGGCAGCCAACCCTCACCCTATGCACATGCCCCCCATGCCTCTCCCACCAGCAGGCACCTGCCTCCCTCCCCACTCCTCTGTGCCCCCCAGACAAGCTGCCCATGGCTCCATCCCACTCTCTGCCATGCCCTACACCTTCTGGGCAGTGCCTACCCCTGCCCCACTCACTCCCTCACCATGGGGACTTTGATCTTCCCCGCCATGCCCTTTCCATCTCCCTCGCACCTTCCTCCCCACAGACTTAAAGACCAGATGCTGCTCTCCAAGTTGCTGGGCGGCATATCAGCTATCGGATCAGTATCAGTCAATACGGCTGGTTAATAATTGGCCACCAGTATCAGCCAAAAAAAAAAATGTTAATTGGTGTATCCCTACTGCAAGCGTTCTTAAAATATGTTTGTGAGATCCAAGGAAAAGGGCCATGCTCCCCACTACGAAGAAAGGCAAAAATCCCCACAGTCTATGTCAATCTGACCCTGGTGTAAAATTCCTTCCTGACCCCAAATCTGGTGACCTATCAGATCCTGAGTAAGAGAACAAGACCTCTAACCAGGAACCTCTGGGTTTTCATCCTATCACAACCACTGAGACACCCCAGTCTAACTGTTCAGCCTTTGCTGCAACCAACACCTAATGCTTCTGAAGAATGCAAAAGAAAAAAAATGAATACCTGTAGCAACAGGTGGGGAAAAATTATTTCCTAGCCAAATGAGGCAACTGGTAACAGCCAAAAGCACAGGAAAACCAAACATCCTCCACTCCGCTCTGCAACCTAAGGACAGAAAGTATAACTCCACACATCACACCCTCTAACCAGACAGCTAGAACTCCCCTATCTGTATCCGCTCTATAAACTTATCCCAGCTCCTTTAATCTTCTTTTGTGACTAAGCTGCTTGTGGAGCTCTGCTTCACTGAGCCTGGTTTCTTCCAATATCCACCTGCTAGGGGGTGCACAGCTTTCTTGTGATCGCACATGGAATCACTGGGAAGAGCAGCTCTCCAGCTTCCAACTGCTGCTCTTAACAGAGATCTCTGGGCAGGGAGAACTCTGCTCCCAGCTCCTAGATCATCTCTGACCAATGTTTATCCAGCCTCTTCTTGAACACCTCCAAGGAAGGAAATTTCACTGCCTTGCTGATCTAACAGTGAAGGCTTTCCTGATGTCCAATCTAAACCTATTTTTTGCAACCTCAAGGTACTGGTATGCAGCAGAGAAAAATTGCTCTCCTTCAGATATTTGAAGACTGCTATTATACCACCTAATTACCTTTTCAGCGGGCTTTTGATCTCATGAGGTCTACCTTCCAAACCTTAGTCATTTTTGTCTCCTGACCCCTAACTTCCCCCTGTGCTTTTTAAAATGTGGAGCCCCAAACCATACACAATACACTAAATAAAGCCTAACCAGAACCAAGTAGACACACATGATAATCCCCCATGTCTTATACTCAATGCTCCTACAAAAGCAGCCCAAAATGGAGTTTTATTTTTTTGCAGCCACACCACATTACAGACTCGCACCAAGTCCCTGATCTACCCAGACTCCTTGACCCTTCTCCACAGTGCTGCCATACAGCTAATTGTTACCTATTTGTCTTTGATTATTCTCCCCGAGGTCTAGCAGCTTGCATTTGTCAGCACTGAAGTTTATCCTATTAGCTCTAACCCAGCTTTCCAATCTATCAAGAACTTTCTGAATTGCTCTCCTGTCCTCCAAGTGCGTTCACGGTCCTTTGTGTCATCTGTCCCTGTTTCACGCTGTCTGCGGGGGCTGGACTTCATGAATTCGAGGTCCCTTCCAGCCATGCTTTTCCATGGGTTGCCCACAGTGAGCGAAAGAACTGCATTTACGTTTATGCTGCTCCTCACTCCTCCTCGTTGCCCAACAGTAAAAGTGAAGAGGAATAAAGCACCTGTCCCTACCACATAGAAAGGGCCACTTCTGGGCACCACAAAAAGGCATTACCTTGAGCTGGGACTGGCCAACTAGGGAGCTTTGCTTTAATTCTGCCGCCAGCATTTCCACACAAATCCCACCCCTCCTCTCCCAGACACGAGACCAGAAGAGAGACTCATGCAAGTCTGCTGCCTTCCTGTCTGCAGGGTCACATCATCTTGCCTCCTAGAAGACGGACCAAAGTCAGACTGGTCAGGAGGACAAAACAGACAGTAAACAACTCTGGTCTTCACATGGGAACATGCATCTGCCATCTCCCCCACAAAGGAGCCTGAGAAAAAAAATCCTGCAGCCGGGCACCGAGCGAGGTGGCAAAGAGCACGGGATGAAAAGCACAGGGAGAAAGTCTTGCGGAAGACAGACGCACACAACATTACCAAGCCCGAGAACAAAAGTGACAATACGGGAGAGGGACCTAAAAGAAGCACGCCTTTAGAGGTGCCCAGACGTGGCCGAGTCTTGCCATCTTTCACAGGGTTTAGTGCTCAACCCGCACAGCTGGGAACAGCATCATCTAGGGGAAGCGGGAGGGAAAGCAACCCGCTCCGCCCAAGGGACGCTCAGCAGCCAGGCCGGGCTCCCCGCTCACGGCGGCTCAGCTCCGGCTCCGGCTCCGGCCCCGACACGCAGCAGTGCTCCAAAACCCCGGGCTGGCACGGCAACCCAGCCCGCCCCGCGGAGCTGCCGGACCACGACCGCGCCAGGTCCCCTCCGCGGGAGGGACCGGCTTCACCCGCCCCAGCACCGGCGCGGGGCGCCTCCGCCCCCGGGGCCCGCCCCGGCACTGACCTTGCCGGACGTGCCGTCCCCTAGCAGCACGAGCTTGAGCTGGCGCTCGGGGCTCTCCTCCTCCGAGTCCGACATGCCGCCTCCGTGGGGCCGCCTCACGGCGCGGGGGCCGCCACCGCCATCTTCCCGCGATGCGGCCGCCCGCCCTAAGG